AAAACTGACAGTGCAGCACGTCTTCGACAATTAGGGTTAGATTTATCGAAAACATTGTCATTCAGAGGAAACAGTAGGTTAGTCAAAAGAGGCCCACAGTATACTTCGAAATCCTACCGACTATAGCATGTTACGAGTTTTTGGATTTTGGAATCATTTTTGTGTGACGTTTGAAATTATGACTTTTCGACTCCAATTTAGTTGATGTGTTGCTGGCACTTTAAATCACTCTTAGGAAGCCAACTTTTAATGATACTCGGTAACATAATCTCTTTCATGGCGCTGGCCTCATAATCTGCCCACGTTATATACATCCCACTTACAGCAATTACTGAATCAAGATCCACATCTGACAATTAATATTTCTTAAACAACGGTAGTTCGCCAAGCCCGATTAATGAAATTTTTAACCCGATGGCAACCTCAACAAAAAGAGTTTTATTCCGAAAACCGAAAATAATATTATAAACATAACAAAAACTTTATACGGATTCCTGTACGGGAGGCTCATAGTCATCCGGTCTTTCTATCTTCTCACCTTCGGCACTCGTAAATGTACTAACATCCGTATGCATTTCCATAAGGCGTCCGATTTCAAACTTTGGTTTTTTCAGTATTTTCACTTTCCTAATACATACATCTTGCAACGGATAGATGTAAGAACACGCTTTTTCGATATCTTTTCCAATCGAATCCGGAACTAGTTTATGGCATACATCTTTTAGATCACTTCCTTGCACCTAAATAACTAATATTTAAAATCTTCAGAAAACAAATACATTTTTCACTCAACTAAGACAACTACAGCCCCCACAATATTTCGTTCGGATTACTACGAATATCCATCATTCACCGTGCACTCAAAAAATAGTTGCTGTTTAGCAAAAAGTTTATCTGACATCAAATACCCACCTCTTTTTGCATGTATTCCACCATTTTCGCCCGAATCTGTCTAATCTTTGACGATTTTGCATAACTTGTTTTCTTCAGCTGCCTCGCATTCTTTTTCGTGAAACCGATGCAGAAAAGCCGCAACAAATAACCATCTGATGTCTTGACCGCGACATTAGCTTCAATGAGGGTCTGGAAATTCCTTTAGTTTGACCAACAAAAAAGAGTTCATGCATTTTTATTTCTGTTTATATCAGGATACTCTAACTGAAATAGGAATGTCAAAAACAAATTCATTGCAAGAAACCCAGCAATCCGAAGTGCGCGGTCTAAACACTAAAAAAAAATGATTTCAGGAGGAATATTCTAAAAAGCTACCACTCACATGCCATTTTTTGACAATGGAGCAAAGCTTATCACGAGTAAGTCGCATGCCATGGAAATTAGTTAGGCAAGTTCGACCCTGAACATCCTCGCATATCAAACGCATCTTCCGAAATTCTGATTCAGCATTGTTCAAGTCGCCAAGTGACACTTCGTAAACACGCCCTTTTAAACCTTCGCTGGCAATTTCTGCAATGAAATATTACTTCGTTAACATTTCATGCAAAAATTTTCGGCGGAATTTTCCCCATCCCTTTTCTCAGGAATCAAAGCTGAAAACAAGATATTCAGAGTTAAGAGCCAATAGAAATCTACAACAAAGGATAGACAAATTAGTAGCAAAAGTGAATGGCATATTCCATATGATTGCCATTCAATCATTTTTTAGAGAAAAAGACTGTTAAATCATCACAATCCCTACTGTAGTATTTCTACAACACAGAAGTAATTCGTTCAGGAAAGAACCACCAACGATGACCAAACTTACTTGTTCCCTGCGTGCGATTCACCAACGTTTTCCCGATATGCTGAACATTGAACATCGAAGGTGCTTTGATATCATACCACTCCTTACGTGTAAATGGATCAACAGCCTTCTTTTTCGCACCTTTCTTACCCATTTTTTTGTTTTTCCCGACCGCCATTTCTAAGCTTGTTTTTGAAACCTGACAAGTTCGTCAATTAAAAACTAACTCTAAAATAAGGTAAAGGAATAATACCAAGACAGAGCAGTATGAAACTGGGAGCGCATAAAACAGGACATGCATACGAAGATTTTACAACATAATTACCAAACTCATTCGCTGTAAGCTGAACCTGCGATAACTAACAAAGGATTGTGCTTTTCTAGCCTATCTGAAACTTCCAGTAACACCGCACCATCACTTACGGTACCATTCCCATATTTATTTAACGATACGTCCTGTCATCTAGACATGGCGGCATGTGACTTCTATCATCCCCACGTGGCTTGAGCACCAACAACCTTACCATTTCCATATTATCGTAGCAATACAACTTGCAGTCGTTATTGTTCACACTCCTTAACGTGACTTAAAGTAATACTACTCCCACTACTACTACCATATCATCTCGATAACTTCCAGAAATACATTCGCTGACGGACGACGTGGGAATTTGCGAATATACGTAGCAACACCACTACACTTACGCAAACCACGCACCCACATCCTAGCGAACCCACTTCCGACATGCCAACCACAAAAATGCCTAAATTCAACACCGAAAACAAAACATCAAGCCGTCCCTCTGGGTGACCCGACCAACGTGAGGCGATATGAAATTGCTTACACTATGCGGCACGGGCCGCATAATCATCGAAAACCAATCTGAATGGAGTGTGTCTGTCCGGTTGTTTGCTTTCGGATTAGATTAAGTTGTTTTCCTGTTTCCGTTTCAGGTTTGAGATTTGTAGGTATTACGTTAGGGGTGTTTTTTTCCACACAATGCTTGTGTTAAAGCACTGAATGGAATAAAATGGCATCATTCAATAGCGTCTGACAACATCCAACACGTGGAACGTTGAAATACAGATCTTATATCGTAATTTTAGTTGCGCAACTTATGCCTTTACACGTTTGTAGTAAACTTATCCATTTCAAGACAAGTTTCAACCCTTGCGAAGTTAGTTAATGAGTTAGTGACTATCTCATATGAATGTTCAAATTGCGTGTTCGTCATCCACGCTGTTTTAGTGATTTTTGTGTAAAATCACCTGAAATTTCAAGCGTCGATCATTTCATTTAATATAACTGATAGGATATAATAATGATTTATGAATTATGTTTTATCTTATAAGGAAACCTGGAAATTCTAGATGAATTAATAAAATCCAGTGATATGGTAATCGTTCTGGATATCTTTGCGCTTCCCACTTCGTTATTCTTTTAATAATCATATAAAGGTGATGGTTTACGATACTGGGATATCATTTCCATTTCTCAGCGCTGAATACGGTTGGGCTTGTTTGCGGTCTTCGTGTTGGCAAGTGTATTAGGATAGCGCTTGGATTATGTCATTGGTACCATAGTTTTCCTTGGCTTTTCACTTCTAGAATAGCTAACACTGCAGAAAAATGAAGGAAAAATAGATTTCATTCCATGATAATATGTGACAATGTATTAGAAGTACTATGAAGATTTCTGGGACGAACTTTGAATAATCTATAAAAGTGATGATTCACAATATTGAGACATTATTTCCATTCATCAGAGCCGAATACGCTTTATTGCTTAAGCTATGTCAAGGATACATGACGTGAATATATACATGACCGCGCATTAGAATGTCAGAAATTCCACTGGTACTAATGATGACACTATTTTGTAATGCCATCTTGCTAGTTAAAGTCCTTTTATTTTACCTTTTGACACATGTCGACCAGTAAGAATGGTTAGAGGATTTAAAAGTCTTAGAATTTACCTCAAATATTTCTGGAATTGAGGAAGGATGCATGGGTCACTTCATATTGAAACATACAGAGATGAAATCTTTCAAAATTGTATCGTGTAGTGTATAAGATATATGTAATGTTTTTTTTTCTCTTTTTAATGTTTATATTTCATTTCAGGAGTTCATGTTGCGTAACAATTCTGCCAGTAGTCATGAAAAGTGCGAGTGTAGCGGTACGCAAAGTGATAATCACGACGTGTATCGGTATACTCGTGAAGAAATGCTGAATATGAAGGATGCACCGTTAAGTAGAATACGGCCTCAATATTTGTCCACCGAATTTAATAAGTTAACCTTTGTCGTTTCTAAAGCCGTTTAAGATCTCTTTTTTGACTAGATTTGCCGTTGAAAATCTATGAATTCAACTCAGTTTGCTTGAATCATTAATCGATGTAGGCATTTTGCGTAAGAATATTTTGTAGGTGATACTCCTGACATCGTACTTAAATAAATTAAGTCACAGCTATCAAAATTATTAGCTGAAGCTATGAATAGTTTGTTTGCCAACTATGTACTTACTGCAGTCAATAAAGTTCTGTCAAATTTGTAAATAACTGTTGTGGAACCTGTCATTTAAAGTTATGGATATTCACTTAAGTTCTATTCATTGAGACCAGTGAAGTCTCATCAGTCAAATACGAACGATTAATAGTAAAATACTTAGTAACTTCTTTTCGTATAAAAATACATACTAATAGTCATGCATTTTCAGCGACGAAGGGAACTTTGAGCCCGAAAAGTGGTTGGAATATCGTTGGGTGTGTGAGGGAGTGGAAAATCGTCCGAATGCAAACGTAAAAAGAAAGGAGAAATTGAAAGTTGAAGCATTAGAAGGAGATACAACCGTTCTTTCTCCGCAGAGAAGAGGTTTTTCGTCGGGATGTCGTGCTACATCGCCGACGAAGAACGGTAACATCCTTTCAGTATTTCATAAACTATGTTTCTGAGTATTCTGAATGAAAAGATCGTTATTACTAGGGAGATCAAAGTCTCATTTCTCTATAGTTTTGTCAGGCATTGTTTGGTAATAGCGGTGCTCACATTATTATGAAGAATAAATGTTCTCTATAATTATGACAAAAAGTAGTGTGTTACTTTTCTGTGCTACATCCCAACTTTCCGGCAAGACGTAGTCTCATATCTTTGTAAAATCGATCCGTTTCACAAAAACTTTTCTCATCATTCGTTAGTTTTCCTTATTGTGTTTCGTGACTTTTTCCTTCTGTGAATCTTACGAAAAGATATGCAAATTTCGTCAACAGAAAAGGCATAATAATACTGTAATTAGTATTCATTAGAAGCAGAGACGGAAAGACTCGGTGCAACTAAGGCAAGTTGGCGAAGTGGTGCTGGTTTCCAGTTGAAGAATTCCGGGACGGAGTACAAGACATCGTTTGTAAGTTTGACATTTAATTGATTTTCATGAGGATTTTTAATGTCCTTCCATCTATTCCATAACTGACCCAATAATTTCAGGATTTTATAGTAAGTGTTAGCATATCTTTTTTACGAATTCTGTATTAAGTAACTTGTATGAAACAGTCGAATTTTAGCACAGAAACATTGGAAGCAGTGAATCCTCATTTATAAGGACCCGTCAACAAAATGGTACTTTGCCGAGCAGTGCTGGCAACTGGCGTTCAAGCGAGACATCATTTAAACCAAATTATCAGAAAGACAGTGGTCAAAATCAGGTTATATAACTTTTTATCTTAACGTGAGTAGACTTTGCTCCTAATGTGTGTGTTTTTTTTTTTTTTTTTTTGTCGTTGTTTCTATGACGATGATATATATGTGACAGTAGTTTCGTAAACCACAATTAAAAATCAGTGTTTGATCAGCTAATTGGTAAGCAGTTTGCCGGATGGATTCTTTGACTCTGCCAAAGGTTTGCCTATAATGGCTTCAGAATCGAATGTCCAGGGTTGTATTTTTGTTGTTGACTGCCTAAAAAATATTTTAGAGAGGCAAGTCTGTAGAAATGACTGCGGATGAAAAAGTACCGGAGTGGCTTAATGATGGTCCAACATCGATGCACGATATGATTGAACTACGTGGTTTTGATGACGACAGTAAGATTAGACGTAAGTCGAAGCCTTTTATCCGCACAAAAATTAGAGTTCACGTCTTAGCGAGATATAAGGATTTAGTTTGTTTCAGTTATGAATTTGCGTGCAAATTTAATTTTTTTTATGCAGAATTTCTGGGAGTTTGCAGATAGTCATTTCTAACATGTGATATCATCCCAGAGAAGGGTATTGTGCGCTGGAATAGTTTTGGTGATGTAATTACGAAGTAATTTCATTTAGTCAAAATTTCACTGCCTTTGTTTTTTTCGTTAAATTAAACTGGTTTTGTATGAAATATTTCTCATTTGAGCATGACTTGCAGGTGATTTTCCTCAAAAACCGAAGAGACATCCAGTAAGGATGGCACAACAAAGTGGAATTACCGGTACAAGTGAGCTGAACGAAATTTTGACAGATGAGAAAACCGATTCAGCAGACTGGAGACCGTCTTCTCAGATTGACAATAAAAGTTTAGGTTTATCCTCGGTTGGTAAATCGACTTCATCACATAATCAGACCAGTGACGGTGATATGTCAACAAGTCCTAGTCTATCTTTTGCAATGATTGAGAACAATAATTCATCGGTACCTTTAAACGGCAAATTGCCAAATTCCGATGCTGAATTTGCTGCAATTATGGGTATTCTTGGTGATGCCGATTTGGATTCACTGAAAGAGGTAAGGGTATTGTGAATCATTTTTAAACAGAATCCGTTTAACAGTGCTAAAGTCACTTGCACTTTTGAAGTTATCTTCTTTACATTTCTTTTCTCTCATATTAATCGTGTAGCTTACCAACGTACTAGTACTTTATTTACTTAATAACACGTCTTAACAACACTAAATACTGGTTGCTTTATTTCCAAGCCAGCCATTAAATTGTGTAAACATCTCCTTACCCATGTTTAAATGTTTTTTATTTATGTAAAGCCAGGTTTCTTCAAGCGAAGTCAAGCAACATAATTGTAAAAACTACCTCCTTAACATTGGTGCTAATGATTTTTCTTCAGAATGAACTTAAATCGCCAGCGTCGAAAGAACCAACCGGTAGCAGATTGTCGCGTTTCTTTGCTACGACTAAATCTGAAAATCCCGGTAATTGTTAATCATCTCATGTTAATAATTTAAAAACACTTTCAAAAATTTACGGATATGCTTTTTTTATATTCTTCCCACCACATTTATACGAAATTTTATTTTCAGATAATTCATGCGCTAGTAGGAATGAACCTTTGCAGCAGATGTACGCCATTCCCTCGTCGTCTTCAAATGCCGACCCTTCGCAGGCTCTAGCATCGATTTCTGTTCTTAATAAAATATTTTCAAACACTTGTCAGCGACCTTTTCATTCGCAATTCCTTCCTGAACCGGTTTGTTAATTTTTACACATTTTTCATTTTTAAGTAGTTAAATTTGATTGAAGTGTTCTAGCGATAATTTGACTGATTGCTAATTTCATTTTCTAGCATGTTGCACCATCAGTGCAAGGAGTTTTGCGAGTTGAAGATTTGGAACGTAATTTCCAGAAGGAATCGATCCCTGGAAATCCATCCACTCTATCTGCTGGTGCTGATGGCTTTGGAAACGTAGCAGCTAACGAACAGTTGCCATCCAATTCAAGACAGTCGTATATAAACCAAGTTGGTTTACGATCTTCATTTTCTGGATTTTTGTTTATTAAATATCTCGGCAGATGTAATCAATTTATCTCCTTAGAATTTGAAGATATATACGGCTACCGTGATTTCCATGTTTTGTGGCAATAATGACAAAAATTCTACACTCTTCCATTAGTTTGGGTCGATTCCTTGCATATGATTACCATTTAAAAGTTCGAAATTTCTGCATATTTTTCATTTTTATTTTAATTCCTCATTGCTCATTTATCGATGTTTGTTGCACTTGAACTTTTTTTTTCTAACAATGATAGACGATAAAAGGAAATCCGCTTGGTGATCCGCACCAACAAGCGCATCTCATGAACAAGCTAAATAAATTCGCGCGCCTGCAAAATGGAACGACGGATGACGTTTCACGCATGATTGAAGACAATTTGGCCCTTCCACCGAAAATTTCTTTGGCTCCCACACACCATCTGTCAGGGATCCCATTGAATTCGCAAGCATCGTCTCATCCTGTAGTACCGCCTTTTTCTGATGTCACATTTCATGCAGCTTTTCTTCGTTCGCAATATGAGAAGGCAGCCGCTTTGCATGCACTTGCTGCTAATCAGCGGTCGGCGCTTGCTTCAAATACACAAACAGTCGACAGTACCGTCTTGAGGTTAGTGGTAGTTTTTATTGGGACTATTTTATTGTTAAAAATTCTTTTACTAACCATAGATTAAACCTGGTGTTTTAACTTATTTTCGGTGATATTTACTCGATAGATCCTATAGTCGCGCGACGAACGTGCAGTTATTCTTCGTATTCATTTTATTTTGTAATTGATATTCCGTATAACAAAACTATAATGATTTGATTCAGATATCACAGAACAGATACAATATCGTTGTATTTAGCTTATTTTTTATTCGCCACATTTTATGTTTAATTTTGTAGGCAGGCATTGACAAATATGATAGGGAATGGAGCAATGCCACAGTCGACGCAAACACGACCAGTAGCTGCTGTTGCTCCAATTCCAGCACGGACTACTACAACAGGGGTACTTCCGAATTCCTTTATGCCAACTTCGGTGATGCGACAAATGACCAAAAACAATAATATGTCGGCGACCATGGAAGAAAAACTTCGTCATTCTAACATGTCCATATGTTCTACGCAACATAATGCTGTCAAACAAAATTTTGTCCCGGAGCATTTTAACGTACCTCATAAATGTTAGTTTCAAAACTGAATGAAGATCATTACGGATAAAATTGTATTATGGATCATTTAATGTAGTCGTGTTCTGAGCTTTGAATATTGTTCCATTTAGTCAAATTTTCGGTAATGCAATTGGAAATTTTCAACCACTGTTATTGTTATACCTTGATAGACTTGGGCTTACTTGGTAGAAAATCATTCGGATTTTTGAAATTCGAAGAAAAACATTCACTCTTCGATTTTTAGTTGCTGGAGACGCTGTGGTTGGTGGTATGGCCTCAAAAAATGCAGCTAATTTGATGACAAGACTTGCTCTACAACAGCAGTATGCTCAGGTGCTTGCAGCAATGCAAAATGGTTTATCATTGAATAGTTGGCAATCGAACGCGCAAATGACAGCTTCAGTGCGGGCACAAGCACTAGCAGCCGAACATCAACGACAATACACACTTTCTATGATGCGTGGTGATTTGAATCAAGCACAGGTCATTCGAGCACGACTCCTATCACAACAAGCAGCAGCTTTAGCAACTTTGCCCAATGTTCCAGTAGCGCCTCATCCTCACCATGTTTGCCTTTTTTCTTTTCGAAATTCCTTTTTACCTCGCATTGGAACTTTTCTCGCAGTGACATTTTTACTTTCACTGATGGGAAGACATTTTTTATGCTTACAAAAAGCTAGGTAAAATTATAGCTATTATTTTCAGTCTTTCCAATGATTGGTTAGAAGTGGATCATGATGAAGTAAATATCATGAAAAAGCGCTACGATGTTTCAGTTCCCAATCATGAATCTGTCAAGTAATAAAGAAATAAGGAGTTGAATTTCTGGGCGAAAAATATAACCTGAGTCATACTTCCCAATCAGTGGTTTATTTTTCTTTCAGGTAGGAGCACCTCTGGTACCTATGCAACCGGTAGTGACGACAGCACCAGTTCCGGTGCCGCAAAACGCTCAGTCGCTTCCATCGCTAACGCAATATAAATATCAGAATCCGCTAGAGAAGCTGCTCCAATCAGCAGGTGTACCAGCGAACAGAGGTTTACAGCCACCAAATAAGGAGCCTTGTCAAGGTATGCTTTAATGGAATCTAGCGTTTACAATATTTCTTTTCATACTGTCATACTGTAGAGTATTCTTCCACTGAAAATTTTACAATGTGATGGTAAATGACTAATTAAAAACAGATGCACTGCTTGTATCGAGAAGCTATTGCTCGACTGTGTGGATATGCAGTTGAATTGCGAACAGAAAGACATTACATTTAATATCTGGATTGTTTCTGTTTTCTGTGAATAATCTTTTCATTGTTAGGATGCTTAGCCAATAAGTTAGCAAAAATGGTGTCTAGCTTCATAAGCTTTCATTGACTGTCTGTTTTTCTAAGCCGAATAAGTTTTTGTGAATTATGCTTCGAGTAACTAAATATTTGATTAAACAGGTTCAACTTTACAAACGACAACAGCAAGTGATCTTCCTTCTATAGTTTCGCGTCTTCCTCCAACTGCTAATTGTATTAGTGTCGAAGAGCTCGAGAAACAGTTTGCAGCAAATTGAGCTCGGGAAAAATCCATGCTTCAAAATGTATTCTTTGTTAATATTCTAAATTTTACGCTCAAAACTAATATTTAGTGACATTTCTTTGCAATAACTTATTTTTTCGTTAGCTCATCGTTCCTCGTTTGTCCATAAATGTGTTTGTATTTTAAAAGCTGTTAATTGTAAAATGATGTGCACACGTACACGTTGTATTCATATATATATTTTAGGTTTATTATAATTGTTTTTGCCACTTCTTTATTTTCTTTTCACTGTTGTACGACTTGTTTATTCTTTTGATTAAACTTTGTCCTATTTTAAGTCCTGGTAAATTCTTTGACGTTTTATTCAAAAAATTATTAAAGGTCGTGTACGGTGATTTCCATGTTTCGTTTCGTTTTCACTGCATTCATTATTTTATGTATTAATAATCATACCCACATCGCGTGTATCATTTAATTGATTTCTTTTTATTTTCGTTTTTTATTTTTTCATACATTTCCATTTTTACGATTTTTTTTTTAGTTAATGAGTTTGTGGGGTGATTGGTTTTTGCTTGTATTTCGAAAATTTGTTACAGAAGTACGAATTTTTAAAAGATTTATGATCACAAAGAATATATTATATCATCTGTGGTATTGCCAGAATTGAAGGTAGGTGACTATTCTGTTTAGCGTCTTGCTCATCTGATTTCAGAATATTTGTTAAAGAGAAAATGGAAATGAGGGTAGATCCATATCCTTTATTGCCATTATCCTGTTTTTGATGTCTTTTTCTTTTTTTTTCTCTCCCTCTTTATAACTTGATCAGAATAGTCAATGAGAGGAACAACATATTTCCAAGCACTCTTGTTTGTACAGAAATAACGTAGATGTCAAATTGTTATCTTTTTTAAAGCATCACTTAACTTTTCCTATGGTATCTTTCTGGAAATTTCAATCTATTTCACTGGTGGTCTCCGGAAAATTCAATTTATTTCACCGATGGTTCCAGAAAATCTCCGTAATGTGGGCCGTATTTTGTATAAATTATAAGGCTGACCCGGACATCTTATTTGCTTGCTATTTCAGTTTCATACTTTTCCTATTTGCACAGCTTTACAAATGTGCAGTCACTTTGTTTTATTATCAGCTACGTCTTTGTATTTTGTCTCTAGGATGATTCATTACGTGACTAGAATCATTGTGTGACTTTCGACAGTATTGTTGATAGTAATCGTAACACGTGCATTATTTCTTTCCTTGAAATATCGGAAAATTTCCATACTTCTGAATCACTGATAGATGCAAGATATGTCCTTTACCTTTTGGGCAGATTCATCCAATGGGAAAATAAATGCCTCCCACATCCAGCCATAATTTTGGTATGTTGTGTTCTATACCTCTAAAGACTAAGTCTTTTCTTTTTAGTGTTCTGACGAAATATCTAACAAACTTTCCTTTTGCTGTCAGCACCCTTCACTGAGTCGTTTTTTTTGTATTGTATATCACGTCCAAATAAACACATTCACTTACTGGAAATTGATACTTAAATGTACCAGACCGAGATTATGTCCGAATCACCTGAGGTACTTTATGATTCACTAGTGTCTCGGATGGGCTGGAATACTTCCCAACTGATTCCCGTGAGGATCGTAGAATTCCGCTTGAAATGCAATCTACCCTGGATGTATGTGAGGTCCTTTTGGATTAAATCAGAAATACTTTGTGTAATCCATTATCCAGTTATTTTGTACCAAGAATGCGCTGCTCTATCAGTGCTAAGATGACTTTTTAGTTTTCACTGAAGTGGTCTGAACGCGGCTAGCTGTATTCAAGTCATAACCCGTTTTAGAATTATAACATTCAAAAGATGATATGAACAACAAACGAACAGTACAAGAGTTAGATTACTGATGTTTTTATTGACATTCTGAAGAAACGTTGATGAATGTCCATTATTCTCCATGCTACGAGCTGTTTTTCCTGTAACATTCGGCCTATCGAACTCAGTGAGACGTGAAGCTACCCGGGCAGTGTTAAAAGTGTAAAAAGATCATTATGCTAAGACATAATGTATCGTATGTTGGTCAGCAACTAATTGCATTAAACAAACCACTACTGAATCAAATCGAAAGTTTTGCAAAATTTCTAAAGGTATATTGACATTATTAATAAACCTAAAATTGCTGAACAACAAACACCATTGATTACTTTGATAGATGTATCATTCATTATCAAATTAGTGGTGCTTGTCAATACCATTAACCATGGTATTCTCCCTAAGTGATCTTACACTTATGTTCCATAACTATTCTGTTTTGCAAAGCAATGAATGCATTATACAACAAAAAAAAAAAAAAAACAAATGAAACAGCCACAAATTTAAACGTATTTGAAACATTTTTGGTGATTAGTTGGCAGACGTGTCTTGAACAGTACCGAATCCACCCGAAGTTGAGTAAAAAGAAGTGGATTATATCCATAAACCTGTGTGAAAAACTGTATGCATTCATGTCGTTGTAGATAATGTGCAGTTCGTTTATAAAGACTTGTTTTACAAGCTGGGCAACTGAAAAATGCAATGATAGTCTTTAGGAAAAATTTCCCATTGCTTTTTAGTACTAATGGAAAACGACGTCTAGATTAAGCATGATTAGAGATCTCAATTTTTCCAAAGTATCTAATGAATTTATATTTTTTAAAAGTATATTCCAATCATAAATGGACCCGATTACAATGTGACTGGAATATATTCCATAAGCGGATGGATAATCAACTCTCGACTAGGAAGCATTTTCAGTAGATTGCATTCGTTCCAAAATCTTCTTGATGTCTTGCACCTTATGTTATCAAATACTTTAATTCAGTCGCAGTTTAAGTTAATAAAAGCAATAACCGCAATGTCCATTTGCTAGTCGTTTTGATGGGTGGCTCACGCGTTAGATGAGCAACAAAGAAATTCATTGCCAAATCTTCACAATTCATAAATTCATCTACTTTATCCCTTATTACCTGTGGCATACCATATGTGTAGGCATATAAATAAGCCTGAAAAGTTGGTCAGTTTTCTAAAAGTTATATAACAGGAAGATGAAACTTGACTTTGGAAAGAAAGCATTTCAAATATTACTGTAAATGTGAAAAAACAAATCTCCGAAAACCCATTCATCGAAGTAACTTTACATGTTTGAATAAATGTTACATGATTATTGAACACCTAATAATTAAGTACAATAGAATGTTATTTCGTGGAAATGTGGAATGTTATTTCAAACCCTCCATTTTTTGTCAGTGAGCCAACAGCGCTTAGCCGTGCATATGTAGCTGAATCATATAGTTTCTATTATGAATATACCTTATGAATAAATGCAGCTCCTGTTAATATCATACTCAATTGACATGTGTGGTTGCTGTCATACAAAATTTCATTTCCTTGTTGAGAATGACGTCGAGCTGGGAAACCAACAATTTTCTTTCTTTGTTCACGCCACACTCTAAAAAAATGAACAAGTAATGTTTTTAAAGATGAAATGAAACGTTACAATTAATTCATTGTGTCAACGATATTCTTCGATTGACATGATGAAAACCATCCCAATTAGACATTATTTTGATTTCAAATATTATCTTCAGCAGTGGCTTCTCTGCTCGAAAGTGCCTTTTTCCTGTAAAAAAAAAGTTTCTGGTGCCCCACGCAAATCCAGATCGCATCATTTTTTGTCAAGGAACAATTAACAATGCTGGTAATCAAAATTACAGGTATGAATAGCCTCATATGATGAGAACCTTCCTAGGACAAATAATCGGTATTGGTTTTTTAGAAATTTAGTGTGAACATTTGCAACAGCAATGTATTGAATCAGTGAATCAGTCATGTGAATCAGTATTGAATCAGTCATGCAATTTCCTTAAAGTTCATCTTCAGGTTCAACAAAGTGGTTTTAAAATAGACCTGAATGCGAAAATAATTTCATGCTGCCTGAGATCAATGTCATCATCCAGTGATAGCACCGCTTCCGTGTCAATCTTTAAAAGACTTAAACTTAGTTCGTCTTAGTTGCTCTTTCGTGCATTACAGCACACATTAATATTAAGCAAAGAATTAAAAACCTTAATGGTTTTTCTAAGTCTACTATGTCTTAGTGCTGCCCTTTGGATCCATACTAAAATAGTACAAGAATAAAGGCCATCAAAAGGACCTAAGTTCAAAAAAAATTTGAAAAGCGAAGGTACCAAAATATTTACTCCTTCTATTTCAAGCACATTCGTTATCGTAAAATAGAATTTCAAATCCAACGACAAATTGGAGAAAAAAAAATGCTTCACCTGTTCATATGGTAAAAAACGATTATTCAATGAATTCACAGTTGAATTAATGAAAATGACAGGAACGTGTAATCGTGGCCAGTTACGTTCAACTGGTGGCTCACGTCCATTCCAAATTACTAATACCTGAAAGATTTCTTATTGACGCAAGTGAGGATTATTGGACCATATATTTGGAAATACTGTGTTCAATTATTTAAGTTCACATCAGTCTTGTCACAGTCATTTTGTGAGTACTGTTTAATGTTATCGCTGCGGGCATAGTGAACAATAAAAAAACTTTTTGCCATTTTCAAAAAATGTCAAAAGCATATAAAAACTTCCCACTATAAACGTATAAAACTTCCTTGGGTGATAAGGGGAGAGTAAGCCCTGTGCTGTTCGACTGTGTAACGTCACTTTGCTTGCAACGAACCCCGGAGGTCAACCGATGGCAATCCTAGGCTCAACCACATGGTTTCCTGGCCCAAACGCCATCCAGGTTGGATTTCCGAGTACACCCAACTACGGATGGAGCTCTTTCAGCCTCAGGTTCAGGGACTTTCGCTCACAGCCATTACTTCATTCGAACAAATGCGGTCATTGGTGAAACCGGTGCGTCACTGCGAGTATTACACTTCCCATCACCCATCAAACCCCACGTGCTTCCTCTATACATCGAAAGCCCATTTGTTTGCTGCTGAACTTCACTGGGTTTAACGGTTCGTTAGAGAAACAGAGAAAATTCTCTCATTGCGTTTGCAATTGCAAAAGCAATAAGAGTTTTGTGCATGGTAGGTGATAAATTTGAAGATGAAGCATTTAAGCATTCAGCGAATAAAACAAAGAAGGAAGGGAAGAATGGATGAAATGGAAATTTTATCGAAAAAGGATTAGCTGACCTTATTTAGATATGGCATATTGTTGAGCCTTTCAAGAGCAGAAGCCAATATAGTATCTCGTTGATATGTCAGAAGTACCACTGGAAAAGGCGGAATAAACATACATGAATTAGTAGTTCTTAAAAGTAAAATTCAGAAAGTTGAAATCAGCAATTCTGAAATCAGAATTATAGAAAGTGTTAATAATACTGCTTGATCTTCCTGAAGATGGAGTAGCACTGTCGAAGGTAATACAATCTCAGATCGCTAACTTCCCGAAATTGCTAACTGTCCAAAACAATTTCACGATATTAATCACTTTTTTGTTTAATATACTTATGCTTTCGATCAAATCGTTGGACCTCGTAGATCAATGCTCAGAGAATGTATTTAATATGCTCTGGGATTCCTTAAACCTTCTGTCATATTTCAGTAATCTCCTGACTGGATATTCGGGTCAAATTTTTCTTTCAACAAATTATTTGAAAAAATTAGTATTTACCTGTAAATTGTTCGCGTGGTCTATTGCCGCCAAGTGCACTTGAAAAAGTTGCACCACTTGCAGGAGGGGCAATAGGACGAAAACCCCATTCAAGACCTTCGCCATATTCAAATTGGGATGGAAATGGTGGTTCATTGATTATATATTCCAACGATCTGCCTGCTACATAACCAAAGTTATTCCACCAGTAATATGAATACTAAAATGAATTTAGTGTAAGAAAATTTGTTATGAAACAATCATGACTTCCCCATAGATTTTTCTAGAAATTGGTCCACATATGCTCTTATGATTAATTTCTTAAATAAGATGCATTATATCATCTTTAATACGGTGACTGTAAATCACAGAACGTTTTATAGAAGTCATAAATTTCAGATATCATTGATGTTGAAAATTTTCCCCTGGAATGTATGGCGAATTCTTCCATTTCCTATACACGGACGAAGTACAGCTATTGTTCACTTAGTATTACATCTACAAAATAGACAATGCGTTTATTTCACAGCTGCAAATGTCCAGCAAGTAGCCTTGAATCCACTGGCTACAACGTTAACTGCTTTCTCCACATTATGTCAAAATGACGCTTTTGCGAAAACACTGTTGTATTCGGAAGTGCCTACGTATTACGCATGGAATGCGAGCAGAAAATCATTTGAACGATGCAAACGAGGAAAGCAAGTCGTCGGACAATCTGGCATATTCAAAAAAACTACGATAGGCAGATTGTACACCGTTCATCTCAATCAAGATGAATGCTTCTTTCTTCATATGCTGTTGGTAAATGTGCTCGGTTCAACGTCTTTCCAGCAACTGAGAATATTATCAACGGCGTTACACGTGCCACTTCCCGCAGTGCATGTCAAGCTCTGAATTTACGACCGACATTGGGATGTATGCATTAATGATGCGTGCAACATTTCATATCCAAATCCAACTCGTGCATTATTTACAGTCATATTGACCGCGTGCTCTTTCATCTTCAACAAAGTTATAGGAGAAATATAAATCACACAAGGCTGAAGATATTATCCGTTAAATACGCAAGGAAAATTCAAATAAAAATAGAGGTTTCATAGCAGAAATCTACAACGAAGCATTGATAATTATTGAAGACTTGTGCTTAGAAATCGCAAAGTTCTCAATCAGTTGGAAATGCCATCATCAAATAGATCTGCTGCTGCTGCTGCTGCTGCTTTGTTCGATGTAGAATTGCATCGTGGACAAAATTACAACACGGGTGATGTCTTGTCGTATGTGCAATCAAATATTCTTAAGCTAACGCTTGAGCAAAAATACATTTACAGTCAAATAATGCAAAACTAACAATAATAGAGTTGGAGAAATCTTCTACCAATAACGGGGTTACTAGGGGAAACTGATAAAACGTCCCTAATTAGATAATTCTGGAAGCAGTTCGATCCTAAAATGACACAGCCTCATCTCTTGCGTCGTTTGGAATAATTGCGATATTGCTATCTGGTGGAAGAACTGCTTATTCCGCTTTGAAATTGCCACTGAACTTGCAATTCATTGAAACTCTCACGTGTAACATTTCTAAAGCACCTGGCATGGGAAAAGTATTGCAAAAATGCAAACTTATTGTTTGGGATGAATGCACAATGACGTACAAAAAAGTCATATACAAGTCCGTCGATACTGTTGTTCAGATGGAGCGATTATTTATCCAGCAGAATTTTTGAATTCACTCGACCGCACGTGCTGCAATTGAAAATCAGCGTGTCAATTATCATGTCGCGAAATATCAACCAGCCAAAGCTTTGCAACGACACGCGATTTGTAGCAAAAAAAGAAAAACTAATGAACGTCGTAGAAGCAACAATTTTGACAGGACCTTTCAGAGGTAAAGGTTCTCAATCCTCGCATTCCTATGATTCCAGCGGATGTGCCATTTTCAATTTAAGAGATTGCAATTTCCAATTCGGTTAAAGTTTATAATCACCATCAGCAAAGCTCACGGCCAATCTTTAGAATTCCGCGGTTTAGATCTAGACAAGGACTGCTTCTCACATGGACAATTGTTGCATATTGCACGTTCTAGAGTCGGCAAACCAGACTATATATATATATACCCGCACAGACAATGAAACAATATAAAATATTGTATACCCGCTGTCGGAAACCGAGGAATTTTTAGTACATTAAATATATCGACTTTTGAATTCTGTAAAGGTCAACCATGATGTTGTTTACGCCCTATTCTAATATTGGTATGCTGTTGCATACTATTAACAATCTTATACGCCTTTGATCTTACAGGCTGCTTTGTCGGGAAAACCGAAACGGGAAAATTATTTGGTCTTAAGCCAAGTAGTCCACTATGTACGTCTTATATTTTTACTCTTATATTTTTACTATCACGAGTCGAAACAGTGTAAACGTTTTATTGTTTTCCTGGTTATTCATACCCAGTATATAAAGCTTGCCCCTTTCCTTTTGGGAAGTTCAGACCATACCAGCGTCCGGCAACCTTCTGCACCTCAATTCAATTCATACTCGCTTGAACTCCTACCTTTGCCTTTGAATAAAATTTGTATTAACGGTGTCGTCGCTATCAATTACTATAACCGCACCACTCTTTATTACGGACTATTCTCCTTCCTAGGATTCAGCTCTTTTCAAATATTCTATTCGCTCATCAATTCGCTTTTTTTTTACTTGTCGAAAAAAAAAGGAAGGAAATTGTAACACGTCCAAACAGCTAAAGAATTTGTTGCAAAAAGTATTTCCGGAACAAAGACTCATCACATTATACAAAAGAAATATATACAACGTTTTTTTTTTCCATATCTAAAGTGATGAGTCTGTTATCCAAGCTCAATCGTGTGAAAATGTCTTCTCCTTTGGCATTGAGACTGCATACATCCGCTAACTAATTTGTAAAACTTATTCACGAATCTCACACACAAACTGTAAGAAAGCTGCATATCCGGAAATCCCACACAATTTCCTCTTGGACAAGAGGAAATAGAAAAAACTAATCCGGTATGTTATTGTAAGCCCAACCCACTTAT